AGACCCACTGGCTTTTAATGTATATTTTAAAAATGAACACAATGGCAATCAGCTTTAGATGCACACGATTGGCACGACGTGGCAAACAGCTTTAGAGGCATAAAATGGCAATTTTAGAGCAATAATTTTGGCATATCATGGCTGTTTTAGAGGCAGAAACATGGCACATCATGGTAATCTGTTTTAGAAGCATACAACTTATGTATGTTTGTTTGAATGTATGTAGTATGTGTGTGAATGTTGGTGTTTGAATGCAGGTGTGCATTTGTGTGCAGTGTATACACTTCCACACACATACAGAGACACACTGTGTCCAATCTTTATTAAATTCCCTGGTGGTCCAGCGGGTTAATGCTCCGGTCTTCAGCTCCGCTGCGTGCAGAGCTGCAGACCATGTGATAGAAGTCTCGCGAACACCCAGAGTGTTGCCGTGGTAACACTCTGGGTGCTCACGAGACTTCTATCACACAGTCTGCAGCTCTGCACCCAGTGGAGTGGAAGACTAGAGGTACTGGGCAGACTGATTGGAGGAAGCCCGGAGGCATACAGGGCAAGCCGCCGGTCCCCCTCCTGGTGTCGGGCCTGCGGTCACGGACCGAGGGCCAGACTAATCAGTCTGTCTGACGGTCTCTTAGGTCCCGGAGGCGTGTGTCAACACGACCCACTGGGAATCACCCTGCGACCCACACTTTGGAAAACCCTGATCTATACAAACATTGGACTTGAGTCAGAAGTGCCTAGGTGGATTCAACAAACATATTGTGGCCGTTCACTGCCAGGACTGAGATTTCTATTTAAGGATTGTGGTTTGTGGTTTAGGTAGCATGCCTATTAGGTTTTTTTTAAATTGATGTATATATACACTTGTATGCTATAATTTACTATCCTTTGGACGTTAAGGATATTTTTTCGAGAATTTCTTCCCTATATAGGGAAGGTACACAGGAAATCTCTCATTTTCTCTCTCTTATTTTGTGTTCTATATACACCCTGTTCCAAATTATTATGCAAATGATATTTCTCACGTAACTAAACAATTGATGTAAATAACAGACAGCATAATTCTCATGTTAGCAACTATTAAGAGTACAATTCAAATTTTATTGAACAAACCTCCTAATGATAACAGTATTTTTTTTAAACATAAAAAACTTACAATGCACTGTTACAAATTATTACGCACAGTAAGTTTTAAAACACTTTATAGGTTGAAAAGAACTGAAAATTGTCATTTGTTGTGTTTGCAGCATATTTACTGAAATCAAAAGCTATTTTAATCAAACTTATAACAACTTTTTAAACATTTTAACAGGTCACGTTACATTTTAACATAGCACCCCTTATTTGATAGCAGCTTCACAAGTCTTGCATCCATTGAACTTGTGAGTTTTTGGATAGTTTCTGCTTGAAGATGTCAAACTGCCTCCCAGAGCTGCTGTTTGGATGTAAACTGCCCCCCACCCTCATAGATCTTTTGCTTGAGGATGCTCCAAAGGTTCTCAATAGGATTGAGGTCAGGGGATGATGGAGGCCACACCATGACTTTCTCTCCTTTTATCCCCATAGCAGCCATTGATGCAGAGGTATTCTTTGCAGCATGAGATGGTGCATTGTCATGCATGAAGATGATTTTATTATGGAAAGCATAGTTCTTCCTTCTGTACCAGGGAAGAAAGTGGTCAGTCAGAAACTCCACATACTTTGCAGAGGTAATCTTTACACCTTCGGGGACCCTAAAGGGGCCGACCAGCTCTCTTCCCATGATTCCGGCCCAAAACATGACTCCACCACCGCCTTGCTGACGTCGCAGCCTTGCACCAACCATCCACTACTCCATCCATCTGGACCATCCAGGGTTGCACAGTAGTGATGTCCTGAACGGTTCGCCGCGGACGGTGAACATAAACATAAACTTTGACCCTGTACCTCACAGTCAGCAGACACATTCCAGCCAATCAGCAGCAGACCCTCCCTCCCAGACCCTCCCACCTCCTGGACAGCTTACTAAGAATGCAGCTTCACAATGAATGTAAAATGGATGCTGTCCAGGAGGTGGGAGGGACTGGGAGGGAGGGTCTGCTGCTGATTGGCTGGAATGTGTCTGCTGACTGTGAGGTACAGGGTCAAAGTTTATGTTTATGTTCGCCGTCCGCGGCGAACCGTTCGGGACATCACTATTGCACAGCACTCATCAGTGAACAGGACTGTTTGAAAATTAGTCTTCATGTATTTTTCTGCCCAATGCAGCTGTTTCTGCTTGTGAGCATTGGTTAGTGGTGGCCAAATAGAAGATTTATGCACAGTTGCAAGACTCTGGAGGACTCTACACATTGATGTCTGTGGGACTCCAGAGGCACCAGCAGCTTCAAATATCTGTTTGCTGCTATGTAATGGTATTTTAGCAGCTGCTCTCTTGATCCATTGCATGAAGCTGGCAGAAATCTTCCTCAATGTGCCTTTATCTGCACGAACCCATCTGTGCTCTGAATCAGCCACAAATCTCTTAATAGTGCGATGATTACACTTAAGTTTTCGTGAAATATCTAATGTTTTCATCCCTCGTCCAAGGCATTGAACTATTTCACTTTTTCGGCAGCAGAGAGATAATTTCCTTTCTTCTTTGTTTTTCTTTTATTCTCCTTTCCTCTCTTTTTCTCTTTTTTTTCTTCCCTTTTCTCCTTCTTTTTCCCCTTAATTTCTTTAAATTAATTTGTAGAAAATTATAAAAAGTTTATAAAAAATTGTAGAGATCAAAGTCCACATTTAAACCCTGTGGGGTAAGGGTTTTTAAATTAAAAACCCATTCCATCTCTGTACTTCCTAGAGTCCTTTTTATATCGCCACCTCTCCGTGGGATATTACATTTTTTTTTTATTCCAACACACTTTAGAAATTTTGGATTTTTATCATATACAAGTGTTCGTATCCCCTGATTATGTTTTGGCAGTGCTCTGCCAGTCTTATTTTTCAAACATCGAGTCGTCATTCCCACGCACTGTAACCCACATGGGCATTCTAACAAATATATAGAACATTTTTTGTATTACAATTTATAAAGTCCTTAATTGTGTATGATTTTTTAGTAATGGTAGATTTGAAATTTGTAGTTTTTGTTTTCACATCACAATTGGTGCTGTTGCATACTATACACTTATTGCATTTATAAAAACCCATAGGTTTTATTAAAAAGGAAGTGGATGGTTGGGTGGTGCGGATTTTTGTTAAATGATTTGTAAGTATGGATTTAAAATTTGGCGCCCCCCTAAAAACAATATTGGGTTTCTCTGGAATAACAGTTTTTAAAATCTCATCTTGTTTTGTGCCAATGCTTATTTACAATTTTTCTCACCATGTTACTTTTATTATTAAAATCAAAGACAATTGGTAAAGAGAGAGAGTTGTCAGTGTTTTTATCTTTATATTCCATCGGTATTTTTTATAGCTGATATATTATCGTCTCAATGTTTTTTCTTGATATTTCTTTTCAATGAATTTGTTTCTTAATGTTGCAGATTGGTTATCGAAATCTTGTAAATTTGAACAATTTCTTCTCAAACAAAGGAATTGGCTTTTTGGAATGCTGTGTAGCCAGGGCTTGTGGTGGCAGCTGGAAGTGTCTATCATGTTATTACTACAGACTTTTTTGAAAAATGTTTTTTTATTTACTTTGTCTTGTATGAAAATTTGTAAATCCGGAAAATTAATTGAGGTGTTACTATATTCCCTTGTTAGGATGATCCCCTTGTTATTAACATTAAGATAGTTTAAAACATTTTTTAGCGAATTTTCAGTTCCTTCCCAAATAAAAAACATATCATCAATATATCGGAAGTAGGACACCAGGTTTGCCCTCCACTCATGTCTCCCCAGGACGGCATCCGTCTCCCAGTCAGCCATGAAGATGTTGGCATAACTTGGGACAAACCTGGTGCCCATCGCTGTACCCTGTTTTTGTATATAAAATGAGTCATAAAACCAAAAGTAATTGTTAGTTAAAATTGTATGGATGCCTTGTAAAATAAAAAGTATTTGGTCGTCTGGAATTGTATTTTCTAATCTTAATTTTTTTTCTACTGCTGCACATCATGTGGTATGATGGTATATAGGGATTGTACGTCACATGTTACTAAAAACTATGATTCTTTCCTGTTAAAAGTATTTAAAAATATGAGAAGAGTCATGGAGTCTTTAAGATAAGACTCCATATTTTTAACTGATGGCTGCAACAGGATGTAAAGGTATTTTGACAAGTTGGATAAGACCGACCCGATCCCTGAGACAATAGGTGTTCCGAGTGGGTTTGTTTCATTTTTATGAATTTTTGGTAAAAAATAAATTACGGGGATCTTGGGGTATTGCACATTTAAAAATTCAAATTCTTGTTTGTTTAAAATGTTGATTTCTCTACCTTTTTCTAAAAGGGAACATAAGATTTTTTTAATACGGGGGTTGGGTCAAAAGATAGTTTGTCATATACTTTTGTGTCATTAAGTTGTCTCATGGCTTTGTTAATATACATTTCTTTGGAGAGTATGACTATGCCCTCCCCCCTTTATCTGCAGACTTTATGACAATTTCTTCATCTTTTTTTAGCTCTTTTAGAGCTATTTGTTCCAAACGTGATAAGTTTTGGTTATCATATTTATTATTAATTTTTATTTTCTCCATATCTTTAAGGACTAATTTTTCAAAGATTTCTAGAGCGCCTGATTTCGAATTTGTTGGGTAAAATTTTGATGAATTCTTTAAAGAGGTAGATATTATTTTGGGATGATCAGGTTGTTTTGATGGGAGAGGGGGAGTTGGGTTGTGAATGGGAGTGACATTTTGTACCCTATTTGTAAAAAATCTTTTGAGGGTAGCTTTTCTAATAAATTTATTAACGTCTATAAAAGCCTGAAATGGTTTAAAAGCATTCTTGGGTGCAAATTTAAGACCTTTAGTTAAAACAGATATTTGGGTGGATGATAAAACTTTTTGAGATAAATTGAAAATCCCTTGTTCCTTTTCAGTAAGATGTGTTACTGTCTCTCTAATCTTTCCCTTTTGTGATCTTCTCCCACTTCTCCTTCCTCTAAACTTAAACTTTGTTTCCTCACTCTTGTAGGGTAGGGAATTTGAGCTTGTGCATTTGTCTGTGTATTGATTTCTCAAAAATAATCTTCATTATCAATGTCTGAGTCCACAGATAGTAATTGATACCTGTTAGGGTGGTTATAGTGAATCGGTGATTTAGTAGTGTCATAATTACTATATGTGTATCTCGATCTCTGTGGTCTAGGAGTGATAGAAATTGGATTTTTATACTGTGTGGTAGAGTGAGCATTATAGCTGTTAGAGTTGTGATGATAGAGTGTGGTGAGGAAGGCCGTGGTTTGCGAAGGTGTTGTGAGGTTTTTAAATATCTCGGTGGAGACTGTTGTGATTTTTTGTGATATTGGTCGGATGTTGAGTGTTTTTGATATCTTTGATGTTGTGGTTGATATTGTTGTTTTATAGGTGAAAAATGATTAGGATAGCGATTTCTATTGGAGACAAGTTTTGGAATAGGTCTAAAAGTGTGGTGGTCAGTGTGGTGAGAATGTGACTGTGTCTCAGAAGTATATTTTCTATTGTTTAGGTGAAAAGATCTCATTTGATTGTTAGCATAGTCATGTTTGTCACGAATATATTTTTTCACTTTTACGTGCTTGGTGTCCATTTTTACTTTTTCTATTTTGTTTTGAATGAGAATGCAATTTTGTTTGAAAACTTGTGTTTCGTTAAAGGATGACATTTGTTCTTTGAGATTATTAATCTCAATGTCTAGAACAGATAGTTTTTTATTTTTCTTAGCTATTAATGTTTCCATTAGAACGAAGGTACAAAGTTCCAATTTATTGTACCAATCATTCATAAATTCCTCGTCATCTGTATCTGAGGTAGGTTCCTTAAAATGTCTAAGTCCTCTAGGGGTAATTATTTCATATAGGTATTTTTTAAGAGTTGCTGATTCCCATTTTAATTTTATTTCAGTTGTTAGGGCCTTTTCTAATTTGACAAAAAGGTCTTTTTGGTTGTAATGATCTGTTCTTGTGTATATAAGGATGTGTTCTTCTGTATTACATACATGGTTCACGTCGGTTGTGTGGTTATTTCTGAAATCGAAGATGGACATCGTTTTGTAACTTATAAAGCAGCTATCACCAGAGGGATTTGGTTATATAGCAATGGATAAGATTCACAGAAGGATCAGTGCTAAATAAAGTTACAAAAAAGATTATATTGAATAGTAATTTAAGACAGCACACCTTAAAATGTTAGGGGCTTCCTCTTGATACCCCACAGATATCAGAGAAATGCAGGAGGATAATGATGTGCCTAAAAAGGGGATTAGGAATATTCTAAAGTGGTAATAGTAATGTAAATGTCCTCTAACACAGATAAAATACAAAGAGTGAATAATAAAAATGTGTATTAGTATAAAATCTAAATCAAATAAAAAAGTATTTTAGAGAAGTGGTTCGGCTTGATTGCATTAGATCTTCTTGATGGAATAATACTTGAGATTCCAGAGGTACATGGAAGACATAAAAGACAGGAACTCCAATGGCACAGTATAAAATAAAATATATTAAATGATAATAAAATGAATAATATACTACTCACATTTACCAGAGCTATATCCTGCTCTGGTGTATATATAGCGTGAAGTAGAATGATCCCCACTTCTAGGATATGTGAGGCAGATAGTCCTTCCAGATATTCCTAATGTTGGCAGTTTCAGACCGGAAAGAAAGGGAAAGTGGCAGATATAGTGTTCACTGTATAGAATCACTTAATAAATAATTGTAGAGGAAACATACTCACACTTTTGAGAGCAGACTCACTGCTCGATGAATGGGGCGCAGGTGGCACAATCCCCACCTAGGATTCTTTAGTTTTCGCTTGAGGTGATGAATCATATAATAAAAAAAGATTAGGGCGCTGGAAGTCAGCAGCATATTCCGAATATTTGCCACATCCAGAACAGGAATTGAGACTAGCATTTAAAGATTTAGCTTTCTAAATAGAAACATAGAATGTGACGGCAGATAAGAACCATTCAGCCCATCTAGTCTGCCCAATCTTCTAAATACTTTCATTAGTCCCTGGCCTTATCTTATAGTTAGGATAGCCTTATGCCTATCCCACGCATGCTTAAACTCCTTTACTGTGTTAACCTCTACCACTTCAGCTGGAAGGCTATTACATGCATCCACTACCCTCTCAGTAAAGTAATACTTCCTGATATTATTTTTAAACCTTTGTCCCTCTAATTTAAGACTATGTCCTCTTGTTGTGGTAGTTTTTCTTCTTTTAAATATAGTCTCCTCCTTTACTGTGTTGATTCCCTTTATATATTTAAATGTTTCTATCATATCCCCCCTGTCTCGTCTTTCCTCCAAGCTATACATGTTAAGATCCTTTAGCCTTTCCTGGTAAGTTTTACCCGCAATCCATGAACCAGTTTAGTAGCCCTTCTCTGAACTCTCTCTAAAGTATCAATCTCTTTCTGAAGATACGGTCTCCAGTACTGTGTACAATACTCCAAGTGAGGTCTCACCAGTGTTCTGTACAATGGCATGAGCACTTCCATCTTTCTACTGCTAATACCTCTCCCTATACAACCAAGCAATCTGCTAGCATTTCCTGCTGCTCTATTACATTGTCTGCCTACCTTTAAGTCATCAGAAATAATCAGCCCTAAATCCCTTTCCTCAGATGTTGAGGTTAGGACTCTATCAACTATTCTGTACTCTGCCCTTGGGTTTTTACGTCCAAGATGCATTATCTTGCACTTATCCACATTAAATGTCAGTTGCCACAATTCTGACCATTTTTCTAGTTTACCTAAATCATTTGCCATTTGGCTTATCCCTCCTGGAACATCAACCCTGTTACATATCTTAGTATCATCAGCAAAAAGACATACCTTACCATCAAGACCTTCTGCAATATCATTGTGACGGAACCAGCCTCGCCACTGGGCATTGGAGAAGACTGATTGCCGGCCTCCTGCCCTGTGACTATGGCCCCATGTTGAAAGGATGTATTTTCCCCTGCAAAGACCCAAAAGCTGGGTCTTTCTGTACTTTCCCTATGTGAGCAGTGTTACCCAGATAGCTATGCCATGGAGCCCATTTGTATAATGAAAGACTAGCGGAAAGACTTTGGCTCCATGGCAATTGAACTGTATGTGTGTGCTCTGAGCGCCATTCAGTAATAATGTGCGCTCAGATCTGAGCTATCTGGGGATATGTTGAATGTACCTGTTTTGTGCAATGGCTGCACAGTTATATGTTTTAATGTGCTTTATTGTCTTTTGCTGCCATGTGGCTAATGGAGTTTTGCCTCTGTCCTGGGGATAATTGGATTACTTCCCCAATTATCTCCAGGATAGAAGACTCTGTAGAACTGGTTTTGGGCAGAAAAGCCATGCTGCATTTGGTCAAATAGGACTTTTCATTAACTTTTGAACCACTGGACCAATATGTATGATTTTGACATATGTTTGTATTTGGAGTATGCTGATTCTGTGAATGTGATGCATACTTTTCAAGTTATGAATAATGTGGAAAAACTGTATTTCTCTGTCTGTGATAATTAGATTACCCATTGTGTTCAGTAATCATATCACAGCCAGAGGGAAGGATTTTGTGTGGGAGTGTCTTTCTGTAATGTACGTGTGTTATTGGTTGTTATGTAAAACCCTGTGGGCAGTACTAAGTTTGTGGATTGGGAATAAAAGAGGCTGTATGTGCCAGTACAGTCAGTTCCTGCTTAACCCTCAAAGTGAAGTGTTGTCTCATTATTGGTGGAGGATTTATTGCATGCTGTTCCAGTTTGACTGCTAGGAGTGTAAATCTATTCGCATGGTTTTTCCTATTCGGCTGTATACAACATTCATATGCTTGAGAGCATTCATATGCTCCTACGGTTCAGTGGTTTTGGTTTCTGCTGCAGTGCTTGGAGTCCTCAGGAAGTGCTAGGAGCATCCTTCAACGGAGGTACCCAGTCGGGGTGCCAGGTGATCCGTTACAATCACTAATAAAAATATTAAAGAGAATGGGTCCAAGTACAGATCCCTGAGGTACCCCACTGGTAACACGTCCAAGCTTCGAATATATTCCATTAACTACAACCCTCTGTTGCCTGTCACTCAGCCACTGCCTTACCCATTCAACAATATTGGAATCCAAACTTAAAGATTGCAGTTTATTGATTAGCCTTCTATGTGCAACCAGGGCCGCCATCAGAAATTTTGGGGCCCCTGACAAAGCACAAGGTCTGGGCCCCCCCTCACTCCCGGGCCCGCCCACGCCCTACCTGGTCCGCTGACAATGATGCAGGACTGAATGTGGTGTGTATAGTGGAAGTGAATTAGAATATGTGTAATGGATGTAGTGTTTGTGTGTATTAGATACTGTTTGTACAGTGAATGCAGAGTGTGTGTTTGTGTAGCGGATGCAGTGTGTATAGTGAACGCAGAGTGTGTTTGAGTAGTGGATATACTGTGTACAGTGATGTAGTGTGTGTTTGTGTAGTGGATGTAGTGTTTGTATGTACTAGATGAAATGTGTTTAGTTGGTGCAGTGTCTGTAGTGGATGTAGTGCATGTATTAGATGCAGTGTCTGTGTATAGTGAATGCAGAGTGTTTCAATGTGTGGTGGATGTAGTGTGTGTACTGTGAATACAGGATGTTTGTGTAGTGGATGCTGTGTGTACAGTTAATGCAGAGTGTATGTTAGTGTAGTGAATGCAGAGTGTGTGTCACTATAGTGAATCCAGAGTGTATGCATAGTTTAGTGAATGCAGAGTGTGTGTTAGTGTGTAGTGAATGCAGAGTGTGTCAGTGTAATGAATGTAGTGTGCGTGTTAGTGCAGTGAATGCAGAGTGTGCGTAAATTTGTAGTGAATGCAGAGTGTGTGTTAGTGTAGTGAATGCAGAATGTGTTCATGTGTAGTGAATGCAGAGAGTTAGTGTGTAGCGGATGCAGAGTGTGTGTTAGTGTAGTGAATGCAGAGAGTGTGTTAATGTGTAGTGAATGCAGAGAGTGTGTTAGTGTGTAGCGGATGCAGAGTGTGTGTTAGTGTAGTGAATGCAGAGAGTGTGTTAGTGTGTAGTGGATGCAGAGTGTGTGTGTTAGTGTAGTGAATGCAGAGTGTGTTAATGTGTAGTGAATGCAGAGAGTGGGTTAGTGTGTAGCGGATGCAGAGTGTGTGTTAGTGTGTGGCGGATGCAGAGTGTGTGTTAATGTGTAGCGGATGCAGAGTGTGTGTTAGTGTAGCGGATGCAGAGTGTGTCTTAGTGTAGTGAATGCAGAGTGTGTTAATGTGTAGCGAAACAGAGTGTGTTAGTGTGTAGTGTATACAGAGTGTATGTTGTATTAGTGAATGCAGTGTGTGTGTTAGTGTATGCAGCGTGTGTGCTGTATTAGTGTATGCAGAGTGTGTGTTGTGTTAGTGTATGCAGTGTGTGTGTTGTGTTAGTGTATGCAGTGTGTGTGTTTTGTTAGTGTATGCAGTGTGTGTGTTGTATTGGTGTATGCAGTGTGTGTTTGTTGTGTTAGTGTATGCAGTGTGTGTGTTGTATTGGTGTATGAAGTGTGTGTTGTGTTAGTGTATGCAGTGTGTGTGTTGTATTGGTGTATGCAGTGTGTGTGTTGGGTTAGTGTATGCAGTGTGTGTGTTGTGTGTGTGTTGTGTTAGTGTATGCAGTGTGTGTTGTGTTAGTGTATGCAGTGTGTGTGTTGTGTTAGTGTATACAGTGTGTGTGTGTGTGTTGTGTTAGTGTATGCAGTGTGTGTGTTGTATTGGTGTATGCAGTGTGTGTGTTGTGTTGTGTGTTGTGTTAGTGTATGCAGTGTGTGTGTTGTGTGTGTGTTGTGTTAGTGTATGCAGTGTGTGTGTTGTGTTAGTGTATGCAGTGTGTGTTGTGTTAGTGTATGCAGTGTGTGTTGTGTTAGTGTGTGTTGTGTTAGTGTATGCAGTGTGTGTGTGTTGTGTTAGTGTATGCAGTGTGTGTTGTGTTAGTGTATGTTGTGTTAGTGTATTCAGTGTGTGTGTATTGTGTTAGTGTATGCTGTGTGTGTTGTGTTAGTGTATGCAGCGTGTGTGTGTTGTGTTAGTTTATGCAGTGTGTGTTGTGTTAGTGTATGCAGTGTGTGTGTTGTGTTAGTGTATGCAGTGTGTGTTGTATTGGTGTATGCAGTGTGTGTGTTGTGTATTGGTGTATGCAGTGTGTGTGTTGTGTATTGGTGTATGCAGTGTGTGTTGTGTGTTAGTGTATGCAGTGTGTGTGTTGTGTGTTAGTGTATGCAGTATGTGTGTGTTGTGTGTTAGTGTATGCAGTGTGTGTTGTATTGGTGTATGCAGTGTGTGTGTTGTGTGTTAGTGTATGCAGTGTGTGTTGTATTGGTGTATGCAGTGTGTGTGTGTTGTGTTGGTGTATGCAGTGTGTGTGTGTGTTGTGTTGGTGTATGCAGTGTGTGTTGTGTAAATGTGCAATCTGGGGGGGGGGAGGAAGGGGCATTTTAACATAAATTTTTAATTAAATTTAATTAAATGTTTTTCCCCCCTCCCTGCTTACCTGTGTCCATGGAGGGGGGAGATTCCATCTGTGGTGGTCCGGTGGGGGCCCCCCCGGCTCCCTGTCACCGTCCACAGAGGGGCCCAGGCAGCACACAGCTTCTCCTCTTCTAATAACTCTCGCGAGACCCGCGGAGCGTTGCCATGGTAACCGGGTCCCGCGAGAGTTATTAGAAGAGAGAAGACAGGAGGAGAAGCTGCTCCTGTGCTGCCTGGGCCCCCTCTGCGGACGGTAACAGGGAGCCGGGGGCCCGCGGCTGCACACATAGATAGCGAGATTCACTATCTATGTGTGCAGAGAAACAAAGTGAGGCCCAGGACTGCCAGAGCAGTCCGGGCCCCCCAGGGCCGCCGGGCCCGTGACAACTGTCACGGTTGTCACCCCCTGATGGCGGCCCTGTGTGCAACAGTGTCAAAAGCCTTACTGAACTCTAGGTAAGCAATGTCTACTGCACCACCCTGATCTATAATTTTAGTTACCCAATCAAAAAAATCAATAAGATTAGTTTGGCATGATCTCCCTGAAGTAAACCCATGTTGTCTCTAAATATTATTTGTACACATCAACTTTTTGCCCTCTTTTGTTACAGGCCTACCCCATACGTCTGTACCGGCACACCACAACCGACTGGTACTTACTTCTAATTATCATGATATTATCTTATTATTACGGCTTATGTATCGACTACAAATATGAAGGCGTAGTCTGTAATTGTGGGAGGGGCTGTCCGGCTAAAAAAACTCAGGCCTCCTCCATGACAGAACAGTCTAATCTAATCTAATGGGTGGGCCCTCTTTTATTACAGTCCTACTTCATACGTTGGTTCCGGCACACCACAACCGACTGGTGCTTACTTTATTATTGTGTTATCATATTATTACGGCTTATGTCCCCGATGTGTTGGTACTTACCTTATCCGGGAACCAGCTGGGGTCCTCAGCACGAGCTTTCCTTCTGAGCGGGCAGTGTGCACGGACCGCAATGAGCAGTCATGCGGCCCGTCTGGCATTAGGAGCGCAGTGGGAGCCAAAAGTAGATCCAGGCTCCCATTGGGGCACGTCATTGCGACACCCCCACACACGCACGTTTTGGGGGTGTGGGCATGACGTGGGCCAATCAAATGTTAGTTAAGGATATGATAGAAACATTTAAATACATAAATACAGTGACCCCCTCCTTAATACAGGCCATGCAGGACAATGGTGGCAGTCTTCTCTTCCTCCCCTGCTGATGGATCTCACTCATCGGACGGTCATGGCACACAGCAAGGCTGGCGCTTACCGAGTGCCGGCACTGCATGGGCTGGCAGAGGAGATAAAAGGATCTCCCCTGTCAGCCGCGGCCCACCGGCACTTGCCTGGTTTGTCCGATGGCCTGTCCGTTGGCACAAGCACATTATTCCTTCCCCATAGGAAAGCATTGCTTCAATGGTCTCCTATGGAGTTTTACTGACGCAGTATACCCTCATGCAGAGAGTAAGGACATCCAGTGTAAGTTAGCCACTAGAGGCACTTCCTGGTGGTTAAGTGACTTTTGTTCACCTGATTGACAGCAACTAGAGGCAGTCTTAGTCCTGCTTGATCCAATCAACCATACCTCCCTGGTTCTACAAGGCAGTCCTGATAGGTTTGCTCTCTGCTGTCCCGATAAAGCGCAGCAAAGCACTGGCGCTGTAGCCAGCAAGCTTGCCGAGCTGTAAGTGTTGGGAGAAATGACTGAATTGTAGCTGCAGCAGTGCCCATGGTTCTTCCAATTACCGTTGCAGCCGGGGTTAGTAAAAAGCAGCAGTACCAGTGTACGGGCGGTGCAACAAAATGGTGGGAGTGCCACTGACCCACATGTGGACCAAAGGACACTGACAAAGCAGTGTGTTAGTGACCCCTTGATCCATTGGATTACAGCAGCATCCGTTACGTGTACAGCAGTAGCAGTACAAAGGTCACACCGGACAGCGGACAGCCACAGAGAATGACGACGACTGTGGCAGTATCGATTTACCCATAATGGAGGGCAAGAACTAAGAACGAATGCGCTTTTATACAACAGATTGTCCTACATCCCCAGATACTGCCCTCTGCCAGGAAGTATCCCGGGGGGCCAGTCTGAGTTTGGGGGCTACCCACGCAGCGGCTGCCTCGCTCCTCCAGCACGGCACCCAAACCTGCTGCTACTTCTCATCATCGGAAGATGGTGGTCTGAGACTGCCGCCCACAAACCCACAATAACTATAAACAGTTAAAGGAAACTGTACCGTCCACAGCGAGAACACAGAGAATAAAACATACTAAATGTCACTGGATTGGCATCATGGAATAAAACATTAAAATCACTTCATTTGTGCCAACCTGTGTTTCACGACATGCTTCATTCTCTTTAACAATTATATTAAAGAGTTCCTCCAAGAAACATGACTACTCTTGTGACGTGAAGTGGTTATGGTGTGTAAAGGATGTATATACAGAGCTTCACTACGAAACGCTGCACATACAGAGATTAACCCATTTTCTGGCAGAGATGTAACTGGTGCCTGGAGGCTGTATATGAAGCATCACTAGCCAGCCTAGAGGAAGCGTTCTGGGCCGGCTATTGTCAATTCTGTGCATACTGCCAGGGAGAGAATGTGATTCACTGCGATCTGCTGACGCGCTCAGGCGATGAATGGCACCAAGATGGGCATTCAGCTCTGCAGAAGCTGAACGTCGTTCACCCAGCACCCAAAGTGACCAGGCGTCTGATGGGTAAAGCGTGTGGAAGTGGGCTGTAGTGGTTATGGTGTAGAATTACATTATAATCCTGTTCAGACAAAGCAAAGTTACCTGGTTAACTCTCGCACTGCTAAGTGCTTTTTAGCTATCTTATTAGTAGTATTAACAGTCTCTGGAAAAGATTCTGTGTATAGTCAAAATGAGAATTCTACATCACATAATGCAGAGGAGGTACATCCGGTAATGACTGATTTTAACCCCTTAAGGACCAAACTTATGGAATAAAAGGGAATCATGACATGTCACACATGTCATGTGTCCTTAAGGGGTTAAAGCAGACATTTAATGTTGCCGAATGGTGCTCAGCCAGCAGTGATCAGTTTGCGTTGGTAAATAGTGTAATATATCTGCATGGTAGTATGTATATTGTATGTTTAGAGTCAGACCCAGCCCAAGGCCGTGAAATCTAAATCCATGTATATCGAGGAGTAGGATAATGGGCAGGTATAGGACAATCTGTTTGTGGTAAGATGATATGACGGGGGAGGACTAACACAGACAGATTCACCTGCTCGCTCTCCATAGAAACAGATTAAAGCAAATTGCACGGAACGCGTTAACCCACTCTGCGCCAGAAACACATACAGCTGCCAGAGACCTGCAATTCCATATGTGACCACAGGTGGAGTGTGGGACATTAACCACCAAAACCACACTTATATTCCCCCCACCTCTAAAAAAATAAAAATACCACTGGCAGGACCCCCATCATCATAACCCCCACCTCACCACAATAGAAATACCCCGGTAGCCCCCTTCCCACACATTAAACAATTACTCAGCCACAGCAAATAATACCACTGGAAGCCTACAGCAATCACTATATTCTCTCCTCAATGTGCATCAGGGGCTTTGAAGGGACGCGGCCCCCAGGATGGCGGCTCACAGGGGTACCACCGTAGCTGGTGCAGGGTTCTGGTACCTCTTGCTCTCCTGCATTCCATGTGCGCTGCAAGGAGGCGCTCTGGTGTCGCTTACACCCAGACCTGCCGCAGAGAGAAAGGGGATTGGCCCTTCTCCTCACTAAGGGGCTGCTCCCCGGGAGATCCTCAACATGGGGGGATGTACTTTCTCTCCAACTAGACTTCAGCGGGCCCCTCAGTTTGTGCATGCCCCTTACAGGAGCAATGCCTGTAATCCCTGAAGGTGGCCCTGTGTGTGTGTGATTGTGTGTGTAAGTAATACACAACATGACACCTCTAGGAACAGCGGCCGTGTATATAGTAAGACACCTCTAGTACAGGGGCCGTGTATACAATTAGTAGGAATGCCTTGTGCACCATTATAGTTGAACATCTGTGACCCTCATTAAAGGGACACTACAGTCACTAGAGCAACTATAGCTTATTGCATTTATTCTGGTGAGTATAAGCATTCCCTTCAGGCTTTTTGCTGTAAACACTGTCTTTTCAGAGATAATGCAATGTTTATATTGCCCCCTAGTGATAACTCCACTGGCCACTCCACAGATGGCTGCTAGAGGTGCTTCCTGGGGCAGTGCTGCACAGTGTGACTGACATTCAGTGTCTCCTCCCTCTGCATGCAGACACTGAACTTTCCTCATAGAGATTCATCGATTCAATGTATCTCTATGAGGAGATGCTGATTGGCCAGGGCTGTGTTTGAATCATGCTGGCTCTGTCCCTGATCTGCCGTTTTGTCAGTCTCAGCCAATCCTATGGGAAGCACTGTGATTGGATCAGGCTACCACTTCTGATGATGTCAGCAGACAGCTTGTTTTTCTGAGGCAAACAGCATGCAGAGTTACAGCTTCAGGCTTGAATACAGTAAGATTTTACTATATTTATGGAGGCAAGAGGGGCCCAGGGGGGCTAGATGGTGGTTTTAACACTATAGGGTCAGGAATACATGTCTGTGTTCCTGACCCTATAGCGATCCTTTAAATATTACTACCCGCTGTGTCTGCAGTCTCTTCTACCCTGCACTCCAAGTCTCTACATAACCCCCTGCTCCCTGTTTCTCTCTCAGTCTCTCTCTCACACACACACAGTCTCTCTCTCACACACACACAGTCTGTCTCTCTCTCACTCACACACACACACACACACACACAGTCTCTCTCTCTCACACACACACACACAATCTGTCTCACACACACACATTGTCTCTCTCACACACTGTCTCAGTTTCTCTCTCCCTGTCTCACACACACACTGTCTCTCCCTGTCCTTCTCTCCCACACACTGTCTCTCTCCCTGTCTCTCACACATTCTCTCCCTGTCTCTCTCTCTCACACACACACACTCTCTCTCCCTGTCCTTCTCTCCCACACACTGTCTCTCTCCCTGTCCCTCTCTCCCACATACTGTCTCTCCCTGTCTCACACTCTCTCTCTCTGTCTCACACTGTCTCTCTCTCCCTGTCTCACACTCTCTCTCTCTCTCCCT